AAATTTTACGTGGAATAACATTTCTTTCCCTTTGTGGTTATTCTACTTCCGAGTTTTTATTAACCTCATGTGGTTATTTGTATTTGTATTGGCTAACAACTTTTTTTTTAGCATAAACAATAGTTTAAACTACAGGGGAGATGAGTTTCTCACACACGCACACAACTAAGATGCCATGAGGGTTCGAACTCTGAGACTTCTTGTCTGCAAGTAAAAGCCTTTTTTCACTAGGCTAGACCCCGTTGGCTTGGCACTTTTAAATTTAAATTATGAATGCAATATATTGCCTTTCTGTATTTTTTTTTAAAAAAAACAAGGCTTAATTGTAGCAATGGTCTCATCAATTATACTCAGAGTTATATTTTGGTTACTCAACTCCAAAAATAGTTGCAAAGGTCACCCAATTACTTGTCGTGTTGCATCATTGGTCTTTTCGTCAAACTATGTCAAATTTTCTATAAAAAGTGAGGGTAAATTCGGAAATTCATCCACAACTCTCCCCTTCCTCCGCAACCCTCCCTCCCCTCCGCAACTCTCCCCTTCCTCTATTGCCGCAACCCACGCCTTCCTCCTCCAATTCCTCTCAACCCCAATCCCTCTCTCTATCACACTGGGCACCCACCCCAGCCCGTATTCCTCAAAATACACCAGACCCAATTCTCACCATAACCCTCTCCCTTCCTCCTCCCCCTTCCCTTCCCCACCTACCCCTTCTTATCCAACAAAAACTTTAAAAACTTATAATTTAAAATCAAACAAAAATAACTATTAGAAGTTTTTGAAAAAAAGGAGATCTCCAATGAGCTCACATGAGAAAGCGTGAAGTGCTCTCTCTCTCTCTCTCTCTCTGTGGGTAATTACTATGATTTTTCATTTATGGATGTTTATGGTTGATAGTTTACGGGTTGGGGTGGGAGGAAGGATTGGGTGGCGAGTTTGGTACAAGGGAGGAGAAGCAATCGAGTTGTCTTTCTTTTTTCCTCTCTCTTTATTTTGGTTTTAGTTTTATTTAATTTTTTTTTGTTATTTCATTTTTATAAATATTTGGAATGAATTTCCAAGTTTACCCATGGATTTAATGGAAAAATAGACAAACTTGACGAAAAGGACCAATAGTGCAACACGATACCTAATTGGGTGACTTCTGTAACGATTTTTGAAGTTGAGTGACCAAAATGTAACTCCGAGTATAGTTGAGATTGCTAGAAAATTAAGTCAAAAAAAATAATCATCATTTTTGGATAAGATATATTTTTCATTAAACTCGGGTTTTAGATTGAATTAAAAATGTCATTTTATTATTTGTGCCAATGAAAGTTGGTTCAGTTGGTAATGTCATTGCACTGTGTGTAGCCCCACTATTGTTCGAGTTTTGCTACAAGCAGTTCTCATTGGTGCGTGATCCATAATTTCTTATATAAATCCATACCGGTGGCAGTTTGTAGTTGGATGTCATGCTTAAATCCTTCTAGTTCGAGATTGTGGGTCTACCCTGACGTTGGTGATCAGAGTAGCCAATCTCCCCCTAAACTTTTAAAAATTATATTTTATTATTTGTATTAGTATTAAACTGCATTGAATATAGAGTAGAATCAATACAGCCCCTAAAATGATTTAAAAGTCCTTACTCCTAGTCAAAAGTTTAAAGACTGTTTACGCATTCACAAAAAGGGTAAAAACACATCTGGGTGGAAATAGAATTCACCTCCGAAAAATTGCAGAAACCGGTCCAGAAAAAAGGATCTTTTCATTTCTAAAACCCTCGAAGAGCAAGAAGCTGAAAAACCCTGAATTTGAGAAAGCATACAAATTGCAACAAAAACCAGAACTTTTGTATTGAAATTTGAAAATGTTTGGTCGAAGCAGATTCCTCTCGTTTCCTATGGTAATTGGAGCAGTCGTGTAAGTCCCGTTCTTTACAAATAAATTTGAGTTTTATAATTATAAAATCGAGCATACCCTTTATGTTATACTGTGTTTATCGGCTGTCCTGCACTATCTGTAAGTCCAAGAACGCTCTAATTTGGTCTTTTGGGTTTGCCCCAGCATGATATGCTTACACATTTAATGGTTTTGTTGATAAATAAGTTAACTTTCAATGACCCATTATTAGGTTCCTTTTCTCCTATCTGATTTGCTTGACTATAAAATTAGCAGAATCATTCACGTATTGGGTTTTGGTTAAATACTGTTTGTTTTGTTTTGGTTAAAAATTGTTTGGGTATGACTATGTGAAGATTAAGTAATTTACTTAGGTTTCTGTATTGCATGACTGAAGTTCTGTCATTGTGAATTTTGTCATCCATTTCCAGTGAATTAGATATGTAAAATGGCGAGAAAATGGCAATGTGAAGTTTGGTATGTTCAGTTGTCACAGATAAAATCAATGAAAAAGGAAAATAAATCTTTATGTGGTGTTTGTATTATGAGTTAGGACATGAGACATGGCTTCTTTACGACCTTCGTAGCAGAACGTGGTTTTCAATGCTGCGCTTGTAGGACTGCTAGGCTTAGTTCATGAATCATGAGTGAATCCTTCACAGTGACAAAGATTGTTTCAAGCAATCCTTCTTTTCTTTAAGTTTTTTCCTTTGTTATTTCTTTTTCTCATTTTTCCTTTCCTTTATATATAACATTGGGAATTTGGGACCCAGGGGTTGATATAAGAATCTGCCTCTTACAACGGTCTAAATTGATAGACGGGACCCTAACAGGCTAACCCCATGAGTTACTTTAAACTCTACATGGAGGTTTAAGTATTCAAACTGGATCTGTCTTTTTGGTCCTATGCAAAAATCTGGTTGTCTACTTATTGTAGGTTTAATTTTCTGTCTTGCATGTTATGCAACCAGTGAATCTGGTAGTCCTTTTTTCATTCTCGTATCTCTTTACTGAATTGGTGAGGTTACTCTCTTGAAAAATAGACGTACTTCTGTCTGCGTGTATGATTGTGAGGGTGTGTGTGTATCATTTCTGTTTTCGAAGTACCGGACGATAAATCACATAGTTTGGTGGCCTTGTTTACATTCTACCATCTGTTTACTGGATTGGTGAGATTACTGTGTGCTTGAGACAGGGATGACAAGAGGTAATAATTGGGAAATCTTGAAGGATACTGATGTAGTGTGGTGACTTTCATACAAACAAATGAATTACTAAACACAACTTGCATCGATTTAGCAATTTTTGCCGGAAAGCATATATTGTTCTTTTTTACTACATATCTATGCATGAGGAATCTGTATTGTGCACTGAGATTCACTGCACGCCCACTATTCTAATTAATATCCAAATTGCCTTATTGTTCTAAATGCATTACATCCCATGGCTAATCTTCTCCAATTCGTTGATATTGTTACTGTTTTTTCAGTCCTCGTGTCTAGAGAAAATGATCTAACATCTTCATCTAGTTGGTTGTTAACGAATGAATCATTAAAAAAAACACATTTCTAAAATAAGATGGTGCCAGAAGTGGTTATGTATAATGACGCAGAACAGAAATGAAGGTAGGCTACATTACATTCCAGTTGGATAAAATTACATCTAATTCATCCATAGGCTTCGGAAAAACTTTACTGTGAAGAAATTACCTTGTCAAAACAACCCCAACTTGTATGGTAACTTTATGACTTAGATTTTACCAGAAAAAGAATAAAACTTCATATAAAAAATACATGAAAAATATACAATTTTTGAAATATATGAAATAATTAGAATTTAGAATACAATAACGTATATCCTGCGTCAATTGTTAGTCCTGTATGGTAATAGCTCTGGAGCACTGAATCTGCACAAAAAAGTGTCTCCCAGAACTTTGTAAAGATGTGTATGTGTGGCATTTTTAGGTATAAGATACAAGTGAGAAAATCTAGAAGCTGATAAAGCATTGGTTTAATTGCTAAAACATTGTGGCCAACCTTCTGCTATGAATGTCCAATGGAAAAACGGGAGCCATAGTGCTTATTGTCTTATTTTGGCTGAATTTTCTGCTGAGAACGGGTTAACCAAAGTTTTAGTGCTGTGTTATACATGTTTTTTTTTCTTGCGTTAGTGCCTTAATATTGCCCCCTCAAACTTGCAGGCAGCTATATAAACTTGTATTCCTGATGAAATCTACTTGGAATTTTAAATTCCAATGTGAGTAATGTGATTTTAAGTGACATTTATTCTAACCTAAAGAATTGTATATGGGGTTTTGCAGGATTGGAGTTGTTTCAGGCAAGGCAATATTTGGACCCCCACTTGATGAGTACTGGAAAAAGAAGCAGCAGGAAGAGACAGCTGCAAAGGAGACTGATGCAAGCTCAAGTTAACCAAAATATACTGATCTTCTCATGTTTGATGACGTCATAGAGGAGTTTTTGCGCAGGGATGCGGGTCATTCATTAATTCATTTACGCACGTTTAGACACTAGGACCAAGGCAACTGCTAACAGCTAAGTATTTTGAATTCATG